CAACCTTTGCTCTTTCTCTTGTAGTACTAGGTTTTCTCTCTGTTAATAAAGAAAAATATATTATTTATGTATATCATGCATCATCATGTATCATCATGTATCATCATCATCATGTATCATCATCATGTATCATCATCATCATGTATCATCATCATGTATCATCCTTGTTATAATCATAATACCATGTCTACCATTAATAATAATTATGTACTCATTGACTGAGTGGCAGGGCCGTACGGGAAGTATTTGGCTTGAGGTGATGCCATACAGATCAAGCGCAGTGAGGTCTGTACAAATGACTGAGAGCGAAATATTTTCCCATACGGCCCGACCTAGTCAGTCAATGACCCTCGCAAAAAGAAAAATAATAAAATAAAAGAAAGAAAATATGGTTGCAGGTTTCGAGCAGGGCTGTACATATTTGTATGGCCCTGCTCACTCATAGCCATACAGCCCTGCTCACACCACTTTCCCAAATGTTTTGTTAATAGCGCGTGCCCGGGCAGAGACAGGTCATATGATAACAGGTAATATACAGCTGTAACCCAACCTGTAATCTCTTATTGATAGTCATGAGTTCTGCATACACCTTCTGTACATCATTGTCTTTCAGGGTTTGTGATGACTGCAAGGAAAGATCAACAAGTGAATGCCATTAACAATTTTATAATTTTACAAACTAATCACTACAGTACAAACACTAAAARCATGCAARCTAAATARTASTARATAGTGCTTTYATATACTAATATTRTACTAGTTCTTTTGYTKTATATTGTTTAATTAGTGCTACTTTGTGCTAAATAATGCAAAATATTGCAGGCTTTTAGTSTTTGTACTCTAATRGCAATTTTTCTGTCAAGTTCAGAARAAGTGGCAAACCTCTTGTCCATCRAAGCTTAAGYTCTTCCTTGACTTAGGCCTTCTATATGATCTCCTTGGGCCATCATCAGACTCTGATATATCACCTAAAAAAAATGAATAGCTTATCTCTCAGTGTGTTCTCTTTAATCATGACCAGGAATGAAGAACCTTTTTGGTCATGAACTGAAAAAAATKAAGAACKTTTTGGCTTTGACCAGGAAATAAACTAATTTTTGGTTATGACCAGGAAATAAACGGATTTTTGGTTATGAGCAGGAAAAGAAGAATTCTTTGGTTGTGACCAGGAAATGGAGAAGTCTAGGCAAACTGATTTAGTCACTGTTAATGTTCCTGGAATTATCAAAATCATTCTCTACAGGGAACCTATCACCAGAGGGCCTATTATGAAAAGCCAATAATATAAAATCCTTATCCATACATGGGTACTCTCGTGTAACAATGCACTTTTCACGAAATGGAGAAGACAAAAAAAAACCAAAGGCATTTTATGATTGGACTGCCACAGGTAACCCAGTAATTAAAGTTTTATTCTGAGAGAAGGATGAATATTTTCTGGGGCTATAACAATATATTCTCTTAAGACCCTTCCCACCCATTGGAAAATCCAATCCCTGCCAAGGGGTAGGTATGGATATTTTCTGTTGCTACACAATATGCTTTCCTAAGACTCTCCCCAACCATCCGAAATTCCCCTCCATGGGGTAGGTATGGATATCTTACTGTGCAGACACACTAACCAGGACCACTTGAATAAAACTGACCAATCAGATAACAGTAAACTAGACAGAGATTGAACTGATAACAGTGTCAGCCAATCAGATTATCATGTTTGCACACTCTTATTACATCAATGTGCTATCTGATTGGTATGTTAAAAATATTGAACTAAATGTCGCAATATGATTGGTTAATGAAGCTAGTTTTTCTAGTGTTCCTGTTGGAGTATCCGCATAGTAAAAGATAGATAGGTACCATTCAATGTATCTTCAGAAGATTCCATAGTTTCAATATCATTGTCCTTTTTTGATGCACTAGACACATCCAATCTCTTGGCTCCCAGCCKTACTATCTCATACATAGCCTTCAATGCCTTGTTGTACTGCCTTCTCTCAGCACTGGACACTATGTCTGAACTGCTCTCAGAAAGCTGAGATAGTTGTCTTGGAGTTGCCGTAGCCYTGTTATAACCCCTACGAGCTGAACCATCCATCTTGTCTTCAACATTTCAACATCATTCCAGTCTTGGTTTATACTTGGGATCAGTATTACAATGACACAAAGATTAGCACTTGATCTGCTCTGACAAATTAAAATTTCAAAGAAATTCAAGGACATCTAAATGTGTCACAATTGCGTATAATATTGCTTGCGAGAGTTAAAGAATATGCAAGAAAAGCTTAAATGTTAAATGTAGAATATTTAGTAAAAGTAGAAACGAATTCTCATAAGTTTACCTTATATTTCTTGGGGTTTTGAGTCTGAAAACATCGATATAAAATCACTGCTTACCTCAATATGAAGGATAARTTCTATTTGAGCGCATAAGGGTCAAATAAAGCAAGTATTTAGCGAGTATTTAAGGTCCACATTGAAGAAATGTTAACAATAAAATAAAAAACAGAATCAAAGATGGCGCGAAAACCAGTTGGACTGGGTAACCAGGCTTACAGCAAGTAACGCCTGCTCAGTATTGATTGTACATATGAAACTGTGATTAATAAGGAGGCTAATGTATGATAGTTGTTTTTGTGTTCTGTCACTTCTTGGCTACTTCTTTGCTTGATCAATCGCTTTTTGAATTTTTATATTTACTGATAGATTAACCAGGACTATAGAGTGCACACACTAAACCCGTGAAACAAATACTAACTTTTAGTACTAAATGGTGATAAATAAACAATAGAAAACAAAGGATTCTGTATGAAATAGTACTAATTAGTACTATTCAATGTTCACGATTTTAGTGTGTGCACTCTATTCCAGATATTGAGTACCTTTTAAGGGTCATTTATTAAACTTAACATGGACTGAAGGGGTTGCTTATGGTTGCATTCAAAYGGTATAAATTCAGCTTATTAACCAMATGTATATGGGCAGGGGGGTTCATGTAAGAGCTCATCAGGATATCTCATGAAGCAAGTTGTTATCCACGAACCAGGAGTACTAACGAGGTCTTAATCATAGGCRGGGTGGGGGGTGGGGTAGGCATYGTACCTTTCCTTGCMAAATCYACAGGAATCCCGCATGAATGAATAAAATTTTTGCGTCGAAAGCAAACTYTTAGGGGAGGGGGGGCGTACGTGCCCCTTGCCTCAACAAATATCTAAAGCCATAGTTAATATAGTTCAAGATATGCCTCATTGATTATGCCCAACCAAGCCAAGAGGAGAAAAGAACAGGACACAAAATATATAACAAAAAAACAAATATATTCACTTCATAAACTATTATAATACAATAAGAAAAAGTGTCATTCTAAGGAAATTTGGTGAAATATATATTACTGTAAAACTGTATCACTTTGAATCACTAGAATAAAACAATCRAAATTCCTTATCCTACAATTATAGTGTAATGCTATTTACAAAAATGTTGTTTGGTTATTTCATGTGCAATTTCAAAGTATATCCCTTCCCTACCCTAGAGAGGTATTCATCTTAAACCCTACCCACTACCCCCAGAGATTTTCATGATGAAACTTGAAGGTTGAAGTCCAGCATTAGGGATATTTTTTCTGGATTATTTTTTTAATCATTTCTACATGAAAATCTATGGAGAAACTATTGTATTTATATTTATGGTTAAAATCAAAAAATKTTTAAAAGACCTTGTTTTTCCAAGGTTGGTCTATTTTTGAACAACAAAAATTAGTGGTAAAATAGTATGAYGTTTCGATGTTATCACTACTTTTTGTTTTTCAATGTTTTCCTTTAGTGTGAAACAATAACTTGCATGCTTGTTTGAGACTTTCAAATAATAATATGAGTATATAAAGATATATACATAATTATAGGTAGGCTTTGAGCTAGTAAAAGATAGGAACTAAATCGCTATCRATATAAAAATAAAGACCATAGGTTGAAAATAAATATAAGTATTTGAGCTTTTTCAGTTTTCTAAAAATTCAGCTTTTGTTTTAGAAAGGTGCTAGTTAAAATTTAATATTTTGTCTCACTTTCAGGACCCAAACTTAGAGATTTTGGTTAGATTTCTTTAGAGAGGGGGATTATGGACGTAGTACCTTTCACTGAAAATTCAATAAGCCTTTTCACAGTTTAAAAATCGATTCCACTGCGCGTGCCATTTTATCCCGAATTTCTACATTCTTTTCTCTAAACCTTCTTTGTTCTTAATTAAACAAAAGAAGGTGAGAAATTCGGGATAAAATCGCATGCGCAGTGGAATCGATTCTTAAACTATGAAAAGGCTTATTCAATTCTAGGAAAATGTTGACAAAAGATAGAAAGTCACCAAAACCTCTAAACAAAGGTCATGGGATCCCTGTGGTATGAGTAAATCTCTTTAATCTCCCTTGATTCCTACACCTCAATCTCTGAATTCGATTCGTTGTCCGATATAGAAGGAGAGTGTGAGAGTTCTGAATTTGAATCGCCTTCCGAGTCTCTTCTAATCCTTATCGAATTGATATGAGTAGATGTAGGTCGGGATCCGTGTGGTGAGAATGACGGCGATACAGCCGCAGTGTCCAGCGGCGATACGGAAGGAGAACGTGTTATAAGGGGAGTGATTGCAGGGGTGAAGTTCGGCGAGAATGCAGGAGATGTGTACTGAGTTGAAGGTGGGCTAATAGGAGAACGTGGTAAAGATGAMACTGATGATAGCATATCTGTGGTGGCGATGCCAGGTARATGTGMTTGAAGTCTGCTAGAAGGAATGCTACTTGGTGGTCTCACAGCTACTTTTTTAGTATCAACATCATCCTTCATTTGCCCAATTTCTAAGAAAACCTCAGCTAAAGGCTGRAACTGTGGTCCCCAGTCAAGAAGATAATCCCAGTTGTAACTACCAGAAAGTTCTTCCTTACTTCCAATGATTGAACTCAAGGAGCCGGCATACGGCGCTTGCTCGCGTCCCTCCTCCAAGAACGATCGGGGAACTTCGGCAATCGATTCATCGTCGGCATCGACTTCGGCAAGCTTAGCGTAGAGTAAATTGCCAACGTCGTGYCCACCGTCKGCTTCACCGCCTCCTTCCTCACCAAACACGTGCATACTCTCTTGACTCTGGTATTCCATTTTGGATACAATTTTATCGCTTTTGTATGGCTTGTTCTCRTCTACATGAAGRATTCCACTACCATCGCTTATCGTCAGCTGGGAGATTTGATCTTCATCATCCTGCTGAATYCCCGAGTCAGCGATSAYAGTTTTRACAGCGTAATTATCCGAGTGCAGACTTCCAACGTCCCCATTTCTAACCGAGGGTGGAACTTCCTCGAAGTCCCCATCAGAGGAACCACGACCACTAGACGCACTACCAGGAGTTTCCGAAGCATCAGTRCTAGTGACATTGTTATCGGTCGACGTTCTGTTAAGGGGTGTGTACTCTTGAGGGAAAGTACGCCCTGGAATGCTTTCTGCAGATACAGCAGCATGGTTGGAATTGCCCGATGGYGGATGCACTGTTATTTCATCGAACGAGCCATCGAATTTAAGCCGTGGATTTTTGCGAGCTCTTTTGCGTTTTCTATGGCTGTAAATGAGAAGCATTACCACGACAAGTACAAGAAGAATAACACCAGCGAGGACTGCCAGAGCTACGATGATTACTARACTAGTACCAGAGATATTTCCACCGCCTGTCTGTTCTTCTTTAGTTACAATCCCACAACCAGGACACGTGTAGTCCACGGTCGCGACAACGTAMACAGTAGTCGACTTAGATTTCGGTTTCCCACTGTCAGCCGCCACTCTCAAATAAATTTGGTCATTCTCTTTAGCAGTCTCTCGACGGACTCTACTGCGTAAGCTTTCCATCGATAMGGCATCGTAAGAATCAATACTTCGTCGTTCACGCTTCATTAGACTTGATCCGTCGTTGAGTGTTCGGTTAACTGTTATGACACCCGAGGTCCTATTGATTTTCAAAGCATCGCTTTTCGGATCGATAAAGGAATAGAATAGCATGCCGTCCTCTCCGCCGTCTTCATCGGTTGCCGACACCTGACCGACAACATCTCCGATCTCCGCGTTGCCAGGGACTGAGAACGTATATTGAGACTTGGAGAAAACGGGAAAATATTCATCGACGCTTTGAATGTAAACTGTGATGGTGATATTACTCTGCAGTGGCGGAGACCCTGAGTCCGTTGCCTTGGCTTGCAAGTCGTAGGAAGATCTAACTTCGTAGTCGAACTCAGCGTTTGTCCTTAACCAGCCTGTAAGTGGGTCGATCAGGAATAGTCCTTTGCCGTCTCCTCCAATGATCGAATATGTGATTCGACCATTAGAGTCGGAATCCTTATCTCTAGCGGTGAGGTTGTAAAAGACTGTAGAGACAGGAGAGTTCTCGGGTACTCTGACTTGACCAGGATTTGGGATATGGAAGACTGGAGGGTTGTCATTTAGATCAAGGACTTGGATCGTGACAGCGACTTCAGAATGTAATGGAGGATTTCCTACAAAAAAAAGACAATAAAACATGGTTAGTAAGATCTTGTTGTCAAGAAGGCTTGAATGTTAGTGCYTCGATGTTAACACCTCATTTTGAAACAGTACAGTGATTTTACTTGGCCCATGAAACAAAGTCGTATAATTAGTAACTAATAGTCGAAGTAAAACAAAAGAAAGCAATGGAATTAGTGTCTACATTGACTATTMATTCACAGGCGAAGGAAAATCTCTTTATATCATGCTGTAAGGTCATTTTGATGGCAGTGTCATGTTGTAACAGGGTCTGACATTTTGCGTGAGTCATACTTTTAAAAGTGTCATGTTTTGATAGGGTCATGTTGGTAAGAAAATCCCGTTTCATGAATGCTATGTYGCTAAGGGTGTCATGTTGCTAAGGGTGTCATGCTGCTAAGGGTGTCATGTTGCTAAGGGTGTCATGTCGCTAAAGGTGTCAAGTTGTAAGCGTGTCATTTTGCTAAGGGGGTCAAGTTGTAAGCGTGTCATGTTGTAAAGGTGCCACGTTGTAAGGGTGTCATGCTGCATGCTAAGGGTGTCATGTTGCGAAAGTAGTCTTGTTGTAAGGGGGTTATGTTTTCAAGTCACATTGCATGAGTGTTATGTCGTTAAGGATGTCATGTTGTAAGGGTGTCATTTTGTAAAGGTGTCATGTTGCTAAAGTTGTCATGTTGATAAAGATGTCATGTCACTAAGGGTATCGTGTTCCAAGAGTCATGTTGTCAAGTGAGACCCGTTGCATAAGGTTCACGTTGCTTAGCCCATGAGAAAGCCCAGTCACTAAAATTAAGGGGAAAATGCACGATAAAGATAAAACAATATTGACCAATGAAACTGAGTGGTTCGCAAACATACCTTCATCAGAAGCTCGCACAGACAGATGATGAGTATTAATKGCATCATGATCCAGTAGTTTAACAGTCCTGATGATTCCAAGGTTTCTGTCGATGGAGAACGAGTCCTTATCATCCCCAGACTCAATAGAATACCACACTTTACTATTCGTCCCTGTGTCCCCATCAGAAGCCGAGACGTTCATSAYTATAGTTCCTACTTTCACAYTTTCATACCATTGGGCCAGGTACTGGGCTTGACGAAACTCGGGCTTCAAGTCATTAACATCTGTGACGTTGATCAGAACKGTCACTTTGACTTCCTTTGAGRGATTGACGWCATCAGAGGCTCGAATAACTAGCTGGTAATGGTCTTCTGTCTCGTAGTCTAATGGAGAATTGATACTTATTGTTCCACTGCGCTGTCCAATACGGAATTTATTCAAAAAGTTTCCACTTTCGATGACATAACTTATTCTTGCTAGAGGGATATTTCGTGCGTTTTCTGTGGCTTGTACAGTCGTTACAGAGGTTCCTATRACTGCATCTTCACGAACGCTTGCACTGTACTGAGCAAGGTTAAACTTAGGTTCTCTCGTGATCAGAACTCTGACATAGACAAAAGATTTCTGTGAAGGTATTCCTTGGTCAGTTGCAACTGCAAGAATCTGAATAAGAGCATCACGTCCATTCACTTCGATTCTCTTATTCGATGAAATTACGCCAGTGACGTCGTCGATTTTAAAGTCTGGAATGTTCTTAAGGAATGAGTATCGTAGAATTTGGTTYGAACCACTGTCTTTRTCATAAGCCTTGACTTGTARCAAAGGTTTGTTAGCCTCGATGCTATTGGYCAAAGTYACCTGGTACGAACTGTTGTAAAAAAYMGGCGCGTTGTCGTTCACATCCAGGACATTTACCCTCAAGTCCACGTCAGCGCTGTRCAAACCATCGCTCACACTAACGGTCAAGTCATAGSTCTTAGTCGYTTCGTAGTCTAGCGCCTTGAGTAAAGTCACCGATCCAATGAAACGACTAACAGCAAACATGTTCGCTACACTCTCGCGCTTCAGGGTGTAAACCAACTGAGAATCCTTGTCAGCATCGGTGGCTGTTGCCATGGTGATGACAAACCCTAGTCTTGCATCCTCGGTCACAYTGATGKTAGATGTAACGTTGAAGATAGGCGTRTYGTCGTTCACATCAGAYACAGTAACYCGGATGGTACTAGTACTSGACCTTGAGGGATTCCCTTGATCTGTTGCCTTGACAACGAGGGTGTAACTAGGAACATTCTCACGGTCCAGTGGCTTGGCTGTCTTGATCTGACCAGATCTTTGGTCGATAGAGAAGGCGTWGTCGRTGTTTCCAGACTGRATTGAGTACGCAAGCTGACYATTGGTTGTTGAATCGGCGTCAGTTGCGTTCACAATCACGACATCTCTCGCGACAAAACTCCCATTATCTTCTGCTAGCTGGGTGACAATATTSGCCGGGWGAAACACCGGATCATTGTCATTCACGTCAATCAAACTGACATTCAACGTCATGTACCCGTTGAGTGACGGCGAGTTTTTCAARGTAGCTACAAGCTGCAGTTCGTATTCTTTGATGACTTCAAAGTCAAGCCCAKTTACCACAGTCACAACACCAGAATCGGGATRGATATAGAATGTGTTACCAACGTTACCACTTATAAYACTGTACGTCACTGGRTCGCTYTTCTTATTCCTTGCCAACAAWGTTGTTACATATCCATTTGATGCTACACTCTCTAAGACAGAGACCTTGGAGTGTGACTYGTTAACAAAGACGGGTGGGTCGTCCTGTACTGCTCCTATCAACACCTCARCAACCCCATCACCACTCTTGGACGGTACTCCAAGATCGTCAGCTACTATCCTCAGAGTGTACCTCCCAGACGGTGGGTTATTAAAGCCCGAAGATGTTCTTAGTACCCCTGTGTTACTCTCTAGTTGAAACAGATTATTATGGRCGGAATCTTTGAAGCGATATGTGACTTTACCGTTAGTACTCTTGTTGGTGTCCGCGTCTGTGGCAGTGACTCTCAAAATAATGCTTCCAGAAGTGGTATTCGGGAAGATGTTCKCTTGATAGGGTGTCTCAAGGAACACAGGAGAATGGGTATTCATGTCTTGTATTCGTAGAGTTACCTTCACCCAACTCATTTTCTGATCAGAGCCTTGGTCATGCGCAGAGCAATARAACTCGTAGACTGACTTGACACTTGTSTCAAACCSCGAGACACTAGAGATGACACCAGTYTTGGKRTCTATGGTGAACACGCCAAACGTATCTTTACTAAGAGAGTATACGATCTCACCATTMGATCCGCTATCTTTATCTGTTGCCGTGACGTTCAGCAACGAGGTACCTATYGCAGTCAGTTCTGATATTGTTCTACCGTACTGTGGTTTTAAGAATRACGGAGGATTATCGTTGACATCTTCCACGACGATGACCACTTCACATGTTGTTGAATAGAACGGTTCAGTTACATCCTTCGCTTCTATAACCAATCTGTATTCAGCAATAGTTTCTCGATCAAGTCTCTTGACCGTTGACAGTTCTCCAGTGTCCTCTGAGATCTTAAAATCTCCTCCAACATCTCCTGAAAGAATCTTATACTTGACTTGAGCATTGCTTCCATAATCGAGATCTGTAGCGACTAGGGTGTAGAACACTCCAGGAGGGGTATTTTCCTGGACTTTCCTGGTAATGATCGGGCTGGCAAACGTTGGGCGTTGGTCGTTCTTGTCCAAGACGTTGATCTTAACAGTAGCGGTACTTGCACGGAATGGGTAGGTCTTCCCAGTCGCATAAACTAGAAAACTATACGAGTCTCTCTCTTCTCGGTCTAGCGTAACATTGGTAGTGATCAACCCTGTAGTTGCGTTGATACAAAACAATTGTCTCTCTAGTCCACTTGGAATACTGTAACTCAACTCTGCGTTGGTACCCGAGTCGCGGTCACGTGCCGTCACACTTAGCACTGGTGTCCCCCCTGGCGCTGCCTCGGTGACATTGCCAATGAAAAGACCCTTGGTAAATTCCGGGGGGTTATCATTGACATCAACTACGAATAAAGTCAGAAGTTGAAAGGATGATAACGGTGGATTGCCTTCGTCTGTAGCGCTTATGTTCAACACGTGGGCACGTTGAGTTTCATAGTCAAKATTTCCTATCTTCGTCAGGACGCCAGTTTTTAAGTCAAGACTAAACTTCCCATCATTCCCTCCTATGATACGGTATTCAACCTTGCCCCGAGGTCCTGTATCGTAGTCCAGAGCAGTCACAGACATAACCTCAAAGTTGAACGGTTCATCTTCCATGACGTAAGTGATATTCCTTGAGACAAACACTGGTTTATTGTCGTTGACGTCCAACACGATGATCTTCAAAGTAGCAGTACTATAGAGGCGATCTTTCTGAGTATATGCCTGATCTGTGGCGCGTACAATGAGGGTATACTCRGATATAGACTCTCTGTCCAATAGACTTATTGTRCGGATCTCTCCTGTTGAGGAGTCGATCTTGAAGTGCTCGTCCGGAGATTGGGAATCAATCGAGTACCAGATCCAACTGTTGCTWCCAGAATCATCGTCACGTGCTTGGATCTTCTTAACCACGTGGTTGACWGKYAYTCCTTCGTACACTGAAGCTATTATAGGATTCTTTTCAAAMGTTGGTCGATTGTCATTTGCGTCCAGTACGTAAATATTCACCCATCGATARCTCGTGTGTTGTGTCTGACCCATATCCTTGGCACTTATCTTCAGTTGATAACGATTCTGTCTCTCAAAGTCCAAGACAAGACGMGTGGTTATCACCCCAGAGGTGGTATTGATTGTAAATGTGTTACCGACGTTACCTTGTACGATTTCGTACTGTATTCTGCCGTTATCGCCGTCATCTTGATCTACTGCATTCACCTGTGCAACTATCCCYCCAACAGGAAGCTTTTCAGGCACGTTCACAAAGTTCGTCATGTTCAGGAACATTGGTGGATTGTCATTCACATCTAGTACATAKATGCTGACCATTACGATGCTGTCCTTAGGTGGACTTCCGTTATCTTTTGCAGCGATGTGCAGTATGTAACGATCTTTCTTCTCCCTGTCCAGCGCTGCAGACAAGCTGATCTCACCAGTTTTACTGTTGATTGAGAAGACCTGCGAATTCTGCTGTCCTGCAGCTATTGTGTACTGGATGTCACTGTTCGCTCCAGCTTCGTCAGCGTCTGTCGCAGTCACCTTTAGTAGCGAGGTCCCCACTTTAACATCTTCATACACCTTCTTCTCGTACTGCGACGGGTTGAAGACCGGGCTGTTATCATTGATATCTTCTATCAYTATGGTAACAAGAGTTTTGTCAACACGTGAGCTGACACCTCCATCAGTAGCAACAACAGTAATAAAATAAGATGGTTTTCTTTCACGATCCAAAACCTTGTTAGTCTTGATGACACCYGTGTCTTTATCAATGACAAACTCTCTCACGACAGATTCAAACGCGTATGTAAGTTTAGCATTGCTTCCTTCGTCCTTATCAGTTGCTAAGACCTGATTAACCACTGTTTGATTTGCCTTTCCTTCTTGGACAGAAAATACATACGAATTTTGCTTGAAATTTGGATTATTGTCATTGACATCATCAACAATAACGGTGACATCAGTCGTTGCTGTAAGAGCCGCAGGGAATCCATGGTCTGTAGCAACCACAGTTATTTTGTACACTTCGACATCTTCTCTATCCAATTCTTTCTTGATATAAATCCATCCATCATTTCTTAAGCCAAACTTAGTTGTATCAGCTCCAGCCTTGAAGCTATAGGTAATTCTTGCATTCTCTCCACTATCTTGGTCTGTGGCTGATACTTTGATGATGTTTGAGTCTGAACTCTGGAGTTCAGATACGTGAACAGTGTATGTTGTATTCATAAACACTGGAGCATGATCATTCACATCAACCACAGTCACATTCAAAGTCACTTGCGTTACTAAGGGTGGAGACCCATTATCTTGAGCTCTCACAGTWAGAGTATATGACATCCCACTTGTGTCAAACTTTACAGGTTTTTGTAATGACAATCCTCCAGTGTTTTGATCAAGACTAAAGATCTGACCAGGGTTGGTTAGCAAAGTGTAGGTTACTCTACCGAAATCTCCACTATCAGGGTCTTCTGCCTTTAYAACATAAAATATATCACCAGTTTGAGTATTTTCTGCAAGAGGAACCTGCAGAATGCTGCTATTAAACTTGGGTTTATTGTCATTCAAGTCTTGGACAACGATGTTCACTTTTGTATAACCATACAGTGCTGGCGTTCCTCCATCTTTAGCTTGCACATTTAAAATCAAATGGGGTGTTTTTTCATGGTCAACTGAATCACTTGCATAGATAGTTCCAGTCTCATTGATAACAAAGAGGTTGTTACTATTTCCACCAATTATGCTATAACTTATAATTGCATTTGTTCCAAGGTCTTTACTCACGGCTTTAACAGTTCCAACAACAGTTAGAGAAGAATTTTCAACAATCGTAAAGTTATAAGAYGTGTGTTCAAAGATAGGAGGATTGTCATTAACATCAAGWACAGTAATAACTACAGTTGCAAYATTAGACGACTGCTTACCACCTCCRTCGACAGCTATTACTTTGAGAGTATGGGAATCCTTAGTTTCTCTGTCCAGATTCTTTGCAACAGAAATCACACCAGATGTTGAATTAATAGCAAATAGTCCATTGTTATTACCTTGTGTGATTCTGTAAGTCAGTCTTGCATAGATCCCACTRTCTTTATCTGTTGCGACCAGAGTAGCAATTACCGACCCAATGGCCACATCTTCAGCAACTTGTTTGGTGTACGAATCTGGAGCAAACTCTGGACTGTTGTCATTTTTATCAAGAACTTGAACATTCACAGTTGACAACACGTTTCTTCCACCTCCGTCGGTAGCAACAACTTGAAATGTATACAATGCTTTTGTTTCATGATCAATGGGTCCAGTTGTGAATAACTTTCCTGAGTTCAARTCAACTTGAAAAGGAATTCTATTGCTGGTAGGTAAGGTGTATTGTATAAGACTGTGCTGTCCAAGATCTGGGTCTTTTGCAAACACGTAAAGTATTTCTGTGTTTACTGGTGTGTTTTCATAAACTTGACCATGATAAACACTTTGATTAAACTCAGGACTATTATCATTATTATCACTAATATTTACTATAACCGTACAGTTTGTTTTTAAGGGTGGGTTACCTTTATCTGATACAATAACAGTCAGCACCGGTTGAGCAACCTTCTCACGATCCAGATAAGTAGTTGTTCGTATTTCACCTGTCACTGGATTGATACCAAACCAGTTTCTGTATGAATCACTTTGGGAAGTATTKGCCAATGAGTAAACAAGCTCTGCATTTGATCCGTCATCCTTATCCTTGGCTTGAACCTTGGCAACAAGTGAGTTTATAGTAGCATTTTCATAGATCCTGCTAACATACACATGCCGATCAAACTTGGGGTAGTTATCATTCACATCRCCAACATTGATTTTGAAGCTTTGTTTTGTAGATAGTGGAGGAGAACCATTGTCACTACAAGAAGCTGTTAGTATGAAATTGGGATGTGTTTCTCTGTCCAAGGGCCGTCCAACATAAATCAAAGACTCAGACAATACAGCATCGTACTTCATGCTAAAGAACCCATCACCACCCTCCAAGGTAACATTAACCTCACCATTCTTCCCTGAATCKTCATCTGTAACAGACACACGAACAACTTCCTGGTTTACTCTAGCATCTTCATTCACTTGATATATACCTCCCATGCTGAACTTCAGGTGTATTTTTGGAACATTATCATTGACGTCAACCACATTGATTACTACTTTTGCAACTGCATATTTCTTTGGAATACCCTGTGCATTCTCTGCTTTGATTGACAATTCATACTGCTTTTTCGTTTCATAGTCAAGAGTTATATAGACCTGAATTTCACCAGTTTTTGGGTTAATACCAAATTCTCTTTTGGGAATAGAATGAGGTTCTATAACATACTTAATAGCTGCATTAGTTCCAATGTCTTTATCAGTAGCTGTGACATTCAAGATTGGAGTATTTCTTTTAACATCTTCCAGGACATTGACGGTGTAGTTGGAAGCTGAAAAGATAGGTGGGTTATCATTYGAATCACTCACAGTAATGTTCAATAACAAGTAAGCCTTTCTTGGAGGGTTTCCACCGTCGCTTGCAGAAATATTTAGAATATAAGAATCCTTAGTCTCACGGTCAAGCTCTTTGCCAGTATTTAGCATCAAATCTCCATACAAATGGCCATTCACATCTCTGTTTGCAACAATTCTAAACACATTSTCATCGTTTCCTGACAAAATACGGTAGTTTTGTGTTGAGTTTAAACCACTATCTGGGTCAGTGGTGATAAGTTTATAAAGAAATGCTCCTTGATGTTTGTCCTCTGATAAAACTAAATTTTTGAAACCCCCGTCGAGAAACGTCGGTGAATTGTCATTCATGTCCTCGACGAAAATCGATACAAAATAACTCTTAATAGGAGTATTTTTCAAGTCAAACACTGTTATATTATATTTTCCATCTTTTAACAGAGGATGCTCTCGATCTAACACAACATTTGTTGTGATAACTCCAGCTGGAGTTATTTTAAAGTGTTGCCTCCCCATCCTCGGTGAAATAGAGATTATAGCATAATCTGGATTCCCTTGACTCGAAAGATTTCCAACCACCGTRCCAACGGGCTTTCCTTCGGGTATACTGAAATGATATATTCCATTCTGAGCCAGAGAGACGTCCAATTGACCGCAAATAATACWCAACGCCAGTACAAACTGCCATAACTCGAGTCTTTGTTTAGTTCCCTTCCAAGGAACTTCTGTCCGCACTGTTAACTCAGTCATAATAACACAAAAATGACCAAACACACATCCATGTGGGTCTAGAAATCTTGCTTTTACGGAAGATCTTCATAAAGCACTGGTTTGAGGCCACCATTCACACATATCTCTCGCTAATTTGGTAAAASGTATTCTACTTGAACGTCATGTAGGATGCTCACTATATACACTTTGTGCTCAACAATGGTTCGACTTCACACCGTGAATTCGAATATTTGAGCACAAAACCGCTTTGAATGTTCCACTTAGGACTTATTTACACATTTAAGGTTCTCTGGGAGGTCTCTTCACGTGAAAATAATAAGGATCTGACGACTAATTTACAATAGAATCCACTTTGAAGTTTGTGTCGACCTCTTTGTGGAATGATGAGATTAGATGTGAAACGTACCAGGTCACGTGACCACACGGAGGAAATGTATTTAACACATGAATGGTTTTCGAAAATGTACTCCGTAAATAATCTTTAACAATACTAAAATATTCAACTTAAAGTCAAAACAGAGCATTCTTAAATGAATTATTTAGAAAGCTATAAGTTAAAGAGCTTCTAAAAATAATTCTGAATCTATTAGTTTTTTATCTTTGGATTTTTTGAAATCCCTTTCGAGGGTCAAGAAAAAATTGAAATTTGACTCGCATAAGCTTTGATTGGAGCTCCCTGGAGAGCGAACTGTCAATAGAATGTAAATGGMATCTCTAGAAGTTGTTTTTCATTTGTATTTTAAAACAAGAATGAGTAAGGAGTGTGAATCTTTCTGACAAGAACCAAAGTGACATTTTTGACATGGCTAGTTTTATAATTAGACATGAAAAATATACCCTACTTGAGCGTTTGTGTCTGTGCTTGTGAAATTCATTAACAATTTTGCGGATTCTTATTTCCTCTCTACTTGACACCGTTGTAACAATAATAGACTATATCGAATTCTGATTGGTCAGGCTACATCATACATAATTAAATCAACAGTTTCCTGTTGCCATGGAGAAGGGTCAAGGAATGCTCCCAGACGGTTTAGGAAGTCTTAAGATCATAGAATATCACTCTACAAAGAGATCATGAGGTTTTTAAAAATACTTTTGATTGAGAAGAGGTTAAAAATACAAAAAAGGAGCTGGTTTTTGTTCATTTTGAAAGCCACTGTTGATGGAAGCTTTCAGTGTTTTGAAAGAAGGCCAAGTTATTCGAAACAACAGTCCATGTACCTAGATGGCGTGTTTTTCTTTCCATTTATAGTATTTTTTAACTAAATAGACTCTAACATTATTAGTACTTGAGATTCCAAGAGGCTATCAATAGACTCAACACCTTTAATTAGGATAAAATTCTGTGCCTTGAAGTAAATTTAATAACGTCTAGATATACAAATCCTCGTGAATTTTTTATCTCGCTTTGAAGTGCRAAAAAATGAGATTCTCGTGACGACACTGAAAACTGGTCTAAAGTCAAGTTTAACAAGGGATTATTCTTAAAGAAAGAAAGAAAATAAACAATTTAAAATTACTATTTTTCAAAGTCGAAAAAGCTTGTATCAATTCTGACAAAGACTTAAGAATACCACTTTGAACTATCATCAAAGGACAAAAGAATTTCACGCTTAATGCATTTTCTCTTCAGGCAGCTTTTAAGCTCTATTTGTCAAATCTTCTTGAGCAAACAGCTTTTAATGATCCTCCATCTATTGTTTGCTTGACAGATAGTGTTATCTGAGGAATGTAAAACGGTAAGCCATTCATTCAAAGACTAATAAACAGAAATTAATTAATTCTTGCAAAATCAAAAATCAAAATTCAATCTGTTTTCTTACTGGGGTGCTGGAAAATTGAACTTATCAGCTAAAATTAATCACATTTACTCAAAATTCTCGTGAAAATGCTAAGATACTATTTTGTCAGCCCCCTCATCTGCAGTATAGTCTACATACCTTAAAATTTTCCAACTTGTGTTTCTTCTCATTTTGACAGAAATATCCCATCCATATGCTCAAAATATTGTCGGGAAAATAATTTAAACCAAGCATATTGTTGCCTTCTGTTGGTTCTGACCTTTGCAAGGAAAAACAAGCTAATTTTTTCATTGATTTTAAAGTTGTCCAGAAAAATAGAGCACGCGTTCGTATGTGGACCAGCCCTTTACCACGTCTGGGCGAGTCTCAATAATTATCCCATCTTTGAAGCTTATGGTCTTAAATGCTTTAAGCAATAGCTYTGGGTCAAAAAAGTCACGATGGAGCTAAAAATTACAAGAATTATTTCCTTTTTGAAAATAAAAATTTCGACAAAAAAGGAGCGAAAACAGAAATTGACGAGGCTTGTCCCATTTTGTCTTTTTTTGAAAAACCATCCAAAATTTTAAGAATAAAGTTTTCAAAATTTAGTATAACTTTTGCTTGGTAACATTCTCGTCAAGCCTCAGGCCGAATAAATCGTAATACCTGATCTATTATTGATTTAACCATTTTGAAAGTTAGAAATTCAAAACGTCGAATTTTGATTGACGATCATACACCGACAAACAGGAGTGTCCAATCTGGCCACCAGAATGGGGCGCGCAAGTTTCCACCAGATGACAATTTTTCTTGTCAAATTAGAAATAAATTGCTAGCCGCTATATAAATAATCGTAAATTATATCACGAAACATGTGGTTGCAAGTTGTGGAAGTTAGTTGTAATGGTTTGTCAGAGTTTGCAAGGAACTATTGACACTAAAATGGTTTCTCGGAGGCACGTTTGCATTCAACACTAACAATGAGTACAACGTCAAAGCTGAAATTTGAAATATTTTTTACAATCTTTTTCGATATTTTTTTATCCTTCTTTAAAAATAGTAACGTTCACAAAAGAAGCAGTGAGGGTTTGGAATTTATTACAACGTTAAAATATCTACAAAATCGAAGTGAAAAATGGCATGAATGGATAATACTTTATGACATTCTGAGATGAACATGAAACCGTGAATGTCGTCAAGATATATTTATATACAAAGCTCAAGGTAAGACTGTTTCTAGTTGATCACGAGTGAGATTTTGAGATAGGGCATTATCRTACTTCAAACAGTAGTCTTAGATAAGCTTATTGAGTTAAAATTAATACCAAATAATTGAAACTTTGTGGAAACTAAACTTGATAATATCGAAATGCCACTTTAGCGTATGTCCCCCAGGACCATTTCAAGCTCTATTCCGCCCGTTCTTCTAGTTCTTCGAGGTTGAAGTATTTTTGAATTTTCAATTAAAGTTTTCCTCCGTCATCCAAAGCAATAYTTTGTAACAGACTTGACGCCTTGAKTACTTAGTCAAAGAATAAATGTTTTCCTTTTTAAATAAACTCAGTGTCGTTATGATCTCATCGATCGTWTTCTAAACCATCTTTCGCGCGCTTTTCAAACCTTGAATTCAGCTTCGACTAAAATTGATCTTATTTTAATTTTAAACTACTTAGTTTTAATATTAAAGAATAGTTATACTATAGAATGCGCACAGATTTGATCAACAGTAGATGAGTGCAGACTTGAAGGCGGGAGTGCCAAAGCTGCTAAAAAGACAGTTGTAGATCTTCAGCCCTCCCATCGTTAGCCAAACCAACCAAGGTGAAAACCATTAAACCCCCCAAAAAGAATGTAACTGAGAAATCAAAAGAAGAACTTAGAATTATACTAGTTCAGATCTACTTAACGCAACCGAATGAAGAATTTTTTGAGGAAACATTTCAGTTATTCAGCAACAGAAAGGAAATATTTTTTTCATGTAATAATCTKGGGGCTCGACGCGCTTTGCAAGGCAATGATTCGACAATGATCGTTCGGTGCGCTGTTTGAAGTTAAACGAAGGTCAATCAGTTGCTTCAAAACTTGATGTTATCTGAGGATTGCTACAAGAACCGCACATTTCTAACTTCTGCATCTGTGGACCAGATGAGAGCATTTTTTTTTTCAGGAAARATTTTTATGAAATCCTAGATTTGATAGATGACAATATGCCAACTGGTCGCCCCAATCTGCAATAGCAATCAGCGTTTTTGTCTGCGATGTTCAGAAATATTCAATGATGATGACTTTATAAAACACTACTGAGTTSTTTATGGGCGTTCAAGGATTCCAAACTGTTAGCAAAAGAAAATAATTTTGCATCAGGGGCCAGTTTTGTGTGGGTTTTGTTTGCGMAGAAAAAAATAGGCATAACTGAAACTTGTCGCATCATTGTCTTTCGATGAAAAAGGATCCGATGTGATGACTACATAAAGTTGTAGCAGTTCTGCTATAAACGTCGGTTGGAACTATAAAAATAATTCTTGTCAACACGGTATTAACCGGAAATTAACTGCCTTGAGCCAAAGAAAACAATTTCAGTTGCTGTTCTTCTTTCTAGCTTAAACAAAGCTCTTTCAAATCCACTGCCTCCTTTGGTTGCAAAACTCAAAACTTTCATGAAAGGTTTAATTCTTTAAAGATTGATGTTAGAATAATRATTCAGAGATGAAGACATATCGGAAATAGAAAATATCTCTCTCTAAAACAATCCTGCAGTGTCAGGTTTTGAAAACTGTTAAAACAATTAGGGAAGATCCGGTTTCGGGGCGAGGGATGATGAAGCTTCGAGACTCCTTAATCCATGCAAGAAAGAACTGTCTCAAAACATGTAAAAATTTCTCGAGAGCTCATACCACAGCACGAGCAGTATTTTCGAGTTTGGTAACCTGTTTTGTGCGGTTATTGTTAAGAGTACTTTTATGAATATAAGGAAATATTGTCGTTCAAAAAAGAAAAAAAGAAAAAAAGCTAGTGCTGTGTATGCTATGCCATCTCACATGGAATGATGATGGATTSTCTCTGGTGGTCATTAACAAAACCATTACACATGTTTTTTCACATTATCTGATAACAAGAACATATACACCCTGCTAGTGCTTAGAACGACGATTTCTTTTCGATTTAAACCACATTACGGGACAATTACACCGATTTTAGAGTCTATAAATCAAAGTTCTGTTTTTCAAGCTGTTCGGGAAGGTATCGTGGTGGTCGCTCGAAGGGGTTCTTCATTCACGGACTTTTCCTCATTATTTCATGACGATCATTGGTGAACATGTTTTGAAAACTATAGGAAAGCTCGTTAACAATTTAATTATACCTTAGCGARTTGATATAGGAAGCCAGCGTCATAATAAAAAGATAATCATCATTTTCTTGAGCCCTGAGTTAAATGTATTTTTATCAGGAGAAATTTTAATGGTCATGGCGTCAGCCATTTCTTTCTTTAAGAGTAGAAGAAACAAAATAGATAAACAAAGTTTAACCCGACATAATTTCAATGCCTTTATCGTAAAGCTAGTCTGACTCGTAGTTTTTATCTCTGTAAAAGAAAACAGGGAAAAACTGGTGAAATTGGTTTAACATTTGGTTTTCTCATAGAGATATTGTTATCTCATGTTAACTGAAATCAAATTCCAGTGGAATTCTTAAAGATGTTTTTGGAATACCATTGTRGTGTCAACATGCTACTCAAATTTAACGAAATTTAAATTCTTGGCAAATCTTTTTGCGACTCTGCCGTTCTTCGATGAACTTGAAAAATATGATTCTAAGCTAAGGTGCAGCTACAATTACTTGATGTTATTCCGTTGAAAAAAGAGGGCTTCTTCATGTGTATCACAAAGCAATTGCAATACTGTCGCCATTACATGCAACGATACACGAGCCAAGCCGGTGTGAGTTCAGACACTTAGTGTTATCAAAACATTTCTCTACCGATGCAATRATATTGATTTCGTTTGTCGAACAAGTTTAAAGTCGCAAACGGATGTTTAATAACATTTTTTCAGGAAGTTTGAACGACCCCGGCACTGGCAGAGACGATGATGATGTAGTAATCGATRTTGGCGCGTTTCACTTTTTACAGTTTCATTTGCTTGGTTACTTCTTTCTTTMTTTCTCTCACGCGTCCCTCCTTCCTTCAATTCAATTCTCTCTTTCTTTTCCCTATCTCATTCTTTTTTCCCTCCAATTCCTCCATTTTCTCTCTTATTCTATCTATCCTTTTAGCCAAACCTTTAGGCGGGCCTACGTGTTTTGCTGCACACATCCTAGCAGAGCCAAGCAGTTCATTCCTGCACGAGACTAAATACCTCGGCTTGAGACTGATTTATGCCATTACAAATAATGTTATTTCCGTTATCATCTCAAGAAGTTAACGATTCCTCAATAATTCAAMATCTCAAAGTCAAGGCAAAAAACTGATAAAAACAACAGAAATTCAATAAATGAGAACTATTTTGGACGTTACGATAACAAATATTTCGTCAGCAATAAGCTAAATAACGCATAAATAGTTTCCAAACCTATTTAATATAGTTTTTGCTGAGATAAACAGTGATAGGAGAGAAAACTGAAAACCGCTCTGTCATGAGGAGTGACTGAGCTTTGAACTAAGTATTAAATCTGATTTGATAGTCTTGTAAAGTAGGCCGTCTAACAGCATGGTCTGGGTGGAATAGTTCTGGCCACATCAGATAAACCTAGATAAAAGTAATTAAACGTGGTAGTTAAGCTTGTTTTTCAACTCTTTTTAATTAACCAGYTTGTGTGAGTACCCTTGATTATCAGCGGATCTAGCCATACCAGTGTCAAGTGTACTTAATCATGTCATGGCGTCCAGGAAAGGTACACCCTTGTCTTCCCTACTCTGSGGGTTGATGAAATACAGAGGTTGGTTTGATCAATGGAAGTCAAAGAAAATGAATGTCAAACTTGTTATCCTACGCGAGMGAAAGGTTTAATTTGATAATCACTTTGAGTTGTACTTGTGTTGTGGAAGGGAAATGAAGTTAAAAAAAATAGGAATCCGATTGCATTCATGCATCCGCAACGAAATCATCAAACATGACTAACTTCACACTAATAACAACTGTAGTTTGTAAATATAAAATGAAAAACCTTTTGCTCAATTTGCCGTCCTCATAACCCTATATTTTGTTCTTGATTTGAATTAATGAAATGAGTTTGATTTGATAATGTCTTCATGCAACAAGGTCTGAATTACTAGGTTGTAACTTTTTTTATTTTTTTATTTTAAATTTATTTTTAATGGTCTTCAATCCACCGCATATTTTTACCTTTCGTTGTAAAGAGTTAATAAACAAATAAAATCAATAAATCTAAATGAAATTTAAAAAATCTTCARGAAAATCAAACAACATGTAGTGAAGTTCGAATGGTGCTGAAAGAACCATATTACGAGTGTGGATTAAGTTTAGAAGTGAAGAGTCAACTTAGGCGAGCTGCGCAGTTCTCAAATGCGCTAGAACCAGTTGCAGTAAATTCTAAGAAAKGAAGTAGAGAAGGATGGCTGAATGAATAAACAGTTCTAGACGAATATAACCTGTCTAAACATGCAAATGCGCGCAAATTTCTTTTGACCCTCTTGCACTCTTTTGATATATACTGAACACTGAACGCAATCTGTTCTATTAAATTTTGAGACACTTCAAAACCCAGTAGTTTAGATATRAGAGTTGTGTCATCTGTGCTTGTGTGTGAATATGAAGTGCAATCTTCTTGTTCTGGCATATGCGGGGAAGCGGGGCGCGACAACTGTGAATCGAAATGCTCAGTGTATTGACCAAAAGACCATTTCTTGGTTTCTTATATCTTCRAATTTCATCGAACCTTGAAACCTCTGGGCTGATCAAAGTCAGGGCACAGCGTAACTCTCAGAGCGTGTTAGGTTTTGTGGAGAGAGGAAAACTGGAGAAAACCTTTGAATCAAGGGACAAAGTCTTGTTGTGGAAATAGTTTGTTTATTGTATTCTTCATTCGTTTTTCTCAACTCTAGCTGTACTAGACGTGTGTATGCGGGCGTGCATACAAGATGTAACAGCCTAAGGGTGGTCTTTCATACGCTAGACCCCTCCAGCAGCGAAGACCAGACACTCGTCCATACCAGAACAACATCGCGCGTCAAGATGTGCACCATTCCATCACATCAGTAGCACACATGTCCAACAAATGCGAATTATTCTCTTTTGTTAGGCACGCTTTTGTTAAAACTCGAGAACGAATTCATCAAATTCACCCTAGGATTTCGTTCTGCTTGTCTGTTGTTCCGCGGGCGGCCGGATGCCCGCCATTATCGAGGAAATCTTTCGTCTCTTTTTCTTTAACAACACCTCAGGGGAATTCTGGATTTGTCTCTAGAAATATCGAGTTTATGGGATAYAGAAATCATGTCCATCTCCGAATCTCCGCCTCGAAAACTAATGACAAATCCATATGTGCAGGAAAAAARGAATGCAACAGACTCAAGGTCGAGCAAAGATTCTTGTTGAGATTTTTTTATATCAGGGGGCGTTGGCCGGCGGATTCAACTGATTCTTATATAAATGCTCGCGGCTACGATTTTAAAAAGATAAAAGAAAAACTCTTTCTGATGGCAACACGATAATCTTTAAATACTAGTCTATCTTTTTAGAAATATTTCATGTATTCGCGCTAGCTCCTCTTTTGGTTGTAAGGAACTTCAAAGTGTATTTGAGCCGCTATGCTATGTAACTGTTTAAATCAATACTGGTAGAGACTGCATTCTCTGGGAACTGTGCGCACCGCAATGAGCTACTTTGCGCAAGATACATAAACTTTCCAACTTTCCACTTTTGAGCATTTGTCTTACTTCTGATAATTAATATTTGTAGAACGAATAACGAATACGAGTAGAAAACAGCCCTGATAACCGAGTCCAGTGTTTGCGCAACTCGCTCAATAATTTCATTCTGTAAATCCCCTGTAAGAATCTTTGCCAAAATTTTAATCAAAAAAGCAAACAGTGTGAAGGTCTCCCCTGAAAAACAAGAATATTTCAAGAGAATATGAACTACTTAGTTCATTTTCTCTTGAATATTTCTAATGCATGTAGCAAAAAATCTCAAGCTAGACTGAAGTGAKGAACAAGTTTTTTCGTTGAAAATTAAAACACGTTAGCATTGATCTCTCCTTTTTATGGATCCACTTCTCTCCTCAACAATCAATATCAATTTATTTTTCTTATGTTCAGTCCAGAAGAGGGAGGATTATAGAAAGTTAACGTAGCCGATAGTAAGTTGTGTGTTCATTACTAATCAGGTCAGCGTACGCTGTGAACTAGGTAGCATTTTAGCAATGATCAACAAACATTGGATATGATTTTGCGCAACTGAGTTTTTGTAATTTTAGTATTTTTTACTTGCGTCTTTCCTATACGTATCTTGCGTAGCCGATAGTAATTATGTGTTCATTACTGATCAGGGCAGCGTACGCTCTTTTAACTAGGTAGTATTTTACAATGATCGACAAACATTAGGATATRATTTTGCGCAACTTAGTTATGTAAATATTTTTTATTTGCGTCGCATAAAGCAGGGTTTTTTTTTAACACGAAAGGAATTCACCGAGTTCTTAAGAAGTAATATAACTAGACTATTCAAAAAGGTCTTCGTCAAAAATCATTTTGAGCTCTAAATCTAACTAGATAAAATGCGACTCTAAAACAAAAAATCGCTAGATGCATGGCTAATAGCACTGTTTTAAATGTATAAGAAATTGTAATGACGTCTCGGACCTTCGACGGAGAACGAAGGGCGAACGTCCGAAGCGTCATCAGAGAGTTTTAGATTTACGTCAAACGTCAGTTGACCAGTGAAAAAGTATTTTACATTACTGAAAAGGAGTTGCAAAAGAATCCAAGTAGTAGAAAAACAAAAGAATAATTGTGTGTAGTGAGAAAGGTTTATAAAAGGTAAAGTAAAATACAGGAAACGATGAAAACGTGGTCACGTTTGCCGTTTGCGGGAAGAAATAAAGTCAATCTAAAACTCTCTAATACCGCAGTTAAAACTTTTTTTAACAAGCGTTTAAGTTTTCTTCTTCTTCATTTGCTTTAAATGTTATTTGGTTGTTTTTTAGGAATCTAATTTACTGATACTCAAGTTTACGTTAGAATAAGAAGGTGGAGGCGTTTTTACCGTAGCAGCCAACAGTATTGTATATGTATTAATACATTGGTATTTCAATTTATTATTAATATTATTTGATTATCATTAATATTATTTAATATAATGAATACGTTATTGATATTTAAATTTATTATCATACTAAGTTTTATAATAAAATAGG